CACTTGGTAGCCCAGGCTGGCCTCGAACTCACAGAGATCCGCCTGCCTCTGCCTCCCAAGTGCTGGGATTAAAGGCGTGCGCCACCACCGCCCGGCTTAATGTGAGTTTTGTAGTTAGTTCCAAGGAGGTACATCTGGGAGCATGTTTACAGATAGTTCTCATCATGGCCCAGAAAACATCTACCCTTCCATGGACAAACAAGCATGTTCCTTCTTTGCAGACATGATGCAGATGAGCATAGCAAGTAGGAACCTGTATGCTGAAGATGAAGGAGCCACAAGATGGAAGGATCCTGGGCCTCTGTCACTGCTTGAAAGAAAGCTGTCCTGCTCATTAGGGGTACCACTTTGGAATTAGTGTAAGTGTCAGATAAACTTCTGTTGTATTTGTGTTATCGTGCATTTAGATTTTTTTTTAACAGAATGAGCTAATTAATTTAGGAAGCACAACTTATGCAAAGCATCAGGCATGGGTCAACCGTTACCTATTAGGTTTAAAGAAGAAAAGTGCTCTGCTGTTTGCAAACAGTATTTTTGATTAGATCTGATGGCTGCATTGCCCTTGCCAAGGCTGTAATTCTGTCATCCATTCCTGTGATTCTCATTTCTCCAGCAAATGAGGCAGAGGTAGCAACCCAACATCCCCCAGAGGCATTGGAAAGAAGGAAGTAACTAATCAGGAAGGTAAAAGAACTTGGTTAAGAATCTCCAAATATAGCAGATAATGGCTGGTCCAGGCAGGAGAAACTAAATTCAACTTTTAAGCCTTTCTTGAAATCACTGAAGGGGTTTGAGCCATTATTAGACAAGGAGGCTGGGGCATTTGCTTGTGGAGACCTTATTTCTGTCAGAGCCCTTCTGTCCTGTGTGCTATTTAGACACTCTGTGAAGATGAGCCTTTGACTGTGAAGGGCAGTCCCAGTGTAGTCTGGGAACCTGAGGATGTGGGGCTGTGTAGCAGCAAATATCCAAAGCCATATCCCTTAGGTACCAGAGCTCTGGGGAAGAGACAGTGTTTTCTTAGTATCTCAGGCCCTACATAAGGGCTAGGTGTGTCTGCTCTGTACTCACTGATGCCCTGCTTCTGCCTCCCTCCCACACTTACCCTTTCTCCTCCTACTCATGAGGTATCTTTGTGTAGTTGGAAGGTGTGTGTGTGTGTGTGTGTGTGTGTGTGTGTGTGTGTGTGTGTCCAACCTGGTCTGCAGCTGCTCAGACCCAAATAAACACACAGGCTTATGTTAACTATAACTGCTCGGCCATTAGCTCAGGCTAACTACTGACTACCTCTTACACTTAAACTCAGACCATTTCTGTTAATCTATATGTTGCCATGTGTTCCATGGCTTTACCTGTGTGCCATTACATGCTGCTTCTTGGACGGCAGGCTGACATCTCCTGACTCAGCCTTCCTCTTCCCAGAATTCTCTTCTCTGCTTATCCCGCCTGTACTTCCTGCCTGGCTACTGGCCAACCAACGTTTTATTAAACCAGTGTACCAAAGCATTGTCCCACAGCATCTTTGCAGGGAGCCCTCATTGGCTTCTGTGTTCCTGGGCCAGCAGAGTTCTGAAGGTTACTTAGTAGCAGTGGTTCCTGCCCTTGAGGTGGGGGGTCCTGCTCCTCCTCTAGAACCCAGGGATCTCTGAGAACTCAAGAGACAGATACTAAACGACAGCAAGGCAGTGTTCCCAGCCAAGTCCAAGAACGGGGTCTGTGGGTGAAGTTGGAGAGGGCGCTGGTGGTGAAGGGGCATAGAGAAATGGAAGTGCCTGTAGTGTGAGGAGACCTAGGGTTCCAGATGCAGCAGAAAGAGGGATCCACTTGGGGTAAAGGTAGAGAAGTCCTGTCATACAGACTTGAGGGGAGGGGGGCAATGCCTGCCCTGTGCTGGTCAGTGCATCCCGCCAGGCTCTTCCCCTTGGTCAGGGCAGCCAGCTGGCGGATCTGCTCAGCCCATTGTCATCCAGCTCTGCTCAGCATAGCTTTCACTTCAGCTCAGCTCAGCACATCTCATCCCTCCCCCAGCCCAGCCCAGTTGAAACCATTTATTTCTCTTGGAGGAGAGGAGGTGGTGGTTGATCTTGGCATCTCTGCCGCTACTTCCCAACAGAGCATTGCCTCTCTCTCTCTCCTGCATCCCTCCCGGGGACTGGACCAGCCCAACCCACATTCCAGAGCATCTCCTTCCAAGGGCTTCCTTCCATGCTGCCTGGAATGCTCAGGACTTGTCCAATCCACACCTCCTGTTCTAGCACACTGGACCACCTTGCTTTTGTTACCCAAGGCACTGATGCTCTCTCTCTCTCTCTCTCTCTCTCTCTCTCTCTCTCTCTCTCTCTCTCTCTCTCTCTCCCCCCTTACAAATGGCTCTGCCGCAGCCCTGGGAGGGCGCAGCAGCACCGATCACGTCTCCATGGTTCCTTGTTAGCTGCAGTCTAAGCAGGAAAGTGACTGGGCCTGACAATATAATTTACATTGCTGTATAAAACTATCTGTGGAAGCCAAGCTAATTTGTGCCAGATTAGGCTATTTGTCTCAGCCACTGTCTAGCACCACAATCTATCAGAGGGCTGTTTTCAAATATCGCTTTTCAAGCGTGCCCTTGAGAGGCAGAAATTGATTGGGATCTTAGAGAGCAAAATTACAGCAATAACTTAAAAGAAACAATAATTACTGAATCATACCAGTGTCAGCACTCTGCAAAACACGAAATAGCCATCAAACCCCAATCCAATATATTCTGAAGCGAATTTATTGAATGGAAAAAGCGGTTGAGTGAGGGTATTTCTCCACCCCCCTCCCCTCCCCTTCCCCTGTACATATGGTTATCTCAAAACCGCAAGTGAATGAGTCGATAATTCTTGTCACCGACGGCTCCATTTTCACCAGGCAGAGGAGACCCATTAGCTGCCTGCTGCCGCCCTGGTTCCCTCTCCCCTCTCTCTCCTTTCGCCTCTCCATTGCCGAATCATTTGCTAGTCCCTGCTCTTCAAGCAAACAAACATGTATAACTAATCATCTGCTAAAATGCAGAGGGCCGCTAATAAATCTCCGCAGCTGAAATACTTTAATGGGTAATTAATTGATCCCGTTCCAGAGGAGTAATAAGATAATAAATTAGACAATATTTCACTCAGTCGTGTCAGGCGCCTAGCTAATGGCGCTGTAGGGCTAAGCTGAAGGATAATAAATTAGCCAGAAATTAACTGCTAAGAGGTTTCTGTAGAGAAATCGGCTGACAAGTGAGTCACACTCGTGATTCAGGGCCTGCCTGGGTAGTGTGGCAATCTCTATGAATGTGAACTTGGGCTTCGGGAGGGGGCCCCGTGGGGCACTCCCAGCCAGGCTCCAGCAGGATTAAGTTCCCAGCCAGAGAGTGCCTGTTGGGAAATACTCAGAGTGTGTGAAGTGGGCCAGGGCCCCTGCCTTGCACACCCAGCAGGGCCCTGGCTGCAGTAAACCAGGCACGACATGTGATGTGCTCTGGGAAATCGCTCCCCACTCCCAAGCCAGCGGGCTCTCTGAGCTTTTAATGGGTCAGATCCACTGTGGTGTGAGCGGCGGCGCGGGCCACAGGGCACCTATAGCCAGGCTGCTGCTGCTGCTGCTGCGCCCGAGCAAATATGCTAATGAGGAAGGGTGGAGTCTGGGAAAGAGACCCACGCTCCTTTAATAACAAGGCTATCACAGACATCAGGCAGGAAAACATAACAGGGGGAGATGAACTGAGTTATACTTTTCCACAGGTCAGAGAGGTTTGTCGGAGGGAGAAGATGTCTTGGTTTTATTAAGAACCTTGGGAGAGTGTTGACAGTTAATAGGGAATGGAAGGTCGCCTTCTCCCTGGAGGAGGTGGGGGCAGGGCTCAGACTGATGCAAAAGACTGGGGAAGAAGTCCTTCACCAAGAGACCATAAGCGGGGTACCAGAACCCTCTGAGCTCTGGCCTGTTGATCAGGAAACCAGTGCTGACTAAATGAAATGTGTACGAGAGCCGTCCAGGTTCACATCTTCTCATAGTAGAAGCAGCTGGACGCTGTTTGTGTTATTTAAAGGGAGGGAAGAGGGCAGCTGCGGAGATGAGGTACCCCTGCGCTGCTCCCCTCATTTAGGGACCAGATTGCCTGCACCCCTCCTGGAGATGTTGCTCACCTTCTCCAGCTGTCCCCTCTCTGCTGATGGTCAATGTGAGTGGACCTGCCTTCTGAGTCATTCCGGCTTTGGCAGTGTGAGTTGAAAGCCTAAAGAGAGCTTAGTCATTTAAATGAGATAATGCAGGAGTTAGGGACGAGAAAGAAGAAGAAATGTCTGTGGTTCTCAACCTTCCTGGTGCTGTGATCCTTTAATACAGTCCCTTCATGTTGCGGTGACCCACAAACATAAACTTGTTTCGTTGTTAATTGGTGACTGTAATTTTACTGCTGTTATGGAGCATACTGTAAATATCTGAGCTGCAGGATGTCTGATCTGCGACCCCTGTGGAAAGGCTGTTTGACCTCCAGTGTGGGCTGTGGTGGCATTGTCACCATCTGTGACTCCTTGTCTTGCAGAATCTGCTTCTCATCTCCCTGGGTGGCTGGTGAACCTCAGGGTGGCTTAAAGCTATATGAGCAGCCCCTGTGCTGGTCCTTTTGGAGTGGGTGGGGAAAAGTAGGGGAGTGGGGATGGTGGGGGTGGCGGTGAGGTGGGAGTTTCCCAAGGCCCCTGCCTGGAGGCCCACAGTAGAACAGGTTCAGCCAGAACCAGAGCCAGAACCCGGAAAAGAATCTACCCCTGTGAAGGTGAAAGGACTGGTGTGGGGTGGGTGGGGGTGGGTGGGGGTGGGTGGGGGTGGGGTCTCCACCTCAGGGTGGAGCAGTGGCCTGGCATGTGAGGCCTTCTTTGGGTTGGATCCCCAGCACCACCAAACAAACAAACAGCACAAATCAGCAGGACTGACCCATCCTAACAATAGCGGAACCACCAGAACCAACCGAGAAGGAAGACAAAGGGATGATGTCCCGGGTCGGAGCAGGTCAGGGTCCCAGTTTGTTTGTCTGTTTGGCTTTTCAAAATAGATTCTCTCTGTGTTGCCCTGGCTGTCCTGGAACTCACCCTGTAGCCCAGGTTGGCCTAGAACTCACAGAGATCTGCCTGCCTCTGCCTCCCGAGTGCTGGGATCAAAGGCGTGTGCCACCATCGCCCTGCGGGGTCCCTGTTCTTAACTGACAAATGTTTCAGAAGTAAACTCATCCTCATTCATTATTTGATTTGTTCCTTTATGAGGAATGATGCCACCTTGTCCTCTTCTATTTATCTACGGAGGCCTCAGAGCCGCACGAGGGGTGAGGGCCCTAACCTAAC